GATACAATCTGCAAGTACGCATAAAGTAACTGGAAAGTTGAAAGAAGCAAATTAGAGATTGCAAAACCTACTTCTCAATAGATATTTTTTTCCCAAAGTATTTACGTGATAGTGCAGCTGAAATAAGGCTCCTTTTTCAGTTTTTTTTATTGGAAACACCTTAAAAATACATTGTTTTCTAAGATTTTTTTTATTATTATGCATGGAAAATTAAGTTACCGATTGTGTTCAGTTTATTCTAAACTATTTATATGAAATTCCAGAGTGCTTTTGTGCATAACAGTGGCTAGATAAGGTTTTTATAATTTCTGATAAAACAAACTGACTAGTTTCTTTTTAGTGACCGTTTCGCCAAGGTGACAGCAGAAAAGTAACGGATCCCGACGTCAAACTGCAGGAATTTGAGATATATGTTTTCTTAGCGAATGCACGCCACTGTTGTGACATATTTGAATATATCGCTTGCTTGGGCTCAGCGGGTAATGCAGGTCGGCACTAGCGTGAGTATAAAGGCTGAACTGCATAAAGCGATTTAGCGAGCGACGGCGACAGCGACGAGTCAGCGACGTATTACGAAGATTTCTTACTATCGCTCGTCGCGTCACTCGGTTTTTGGATTTCTAGAAAACATCGTTCCGCTTTCATGCGGCTTGCGTCGTCGCGCGAGTGACCGAGCGTCAGCGAAGCGGGTCGCCGTCGCTGTTCTCGTCGCTCGCAAAATCGTTTACATTCGGTTTATACTTCACGCTGTCAATAATATCGACTCGAGCGCGCATAATTTCATTTCCACGGGAGCGCGTGTAAATCAAACCCTAAACCGAGACGGGGGCTGCAGCCAGCAGCTTTGAGAGCGTCATACAATGGATTATAGTTTGACAGAAGCAAGCACACACTTCGCTAGCGCATTCCAGCCTTGAGCGCTCGAACTTCCGAAAACGAAACCAGATTTTGCTACATTTTGGCTAGCTCGAAACATTTTTTTTTAAATATAGGGTGTCTTTTAGCTATAATCTAGACTAAGAGAAATGTGTACCTTCCCAAATTATATTTATTTCGCCGTACTATATAAGTAATAATTGTGTATTATCGTTACGTTCATATAAAATACGGGGGGTGTCACCGGACCTTCGTCTGAAACAAAAAGTCTGCTATATATACCGAGCGGGTTTCTATCACAAATCAGTAGGAGTGTCGGGTTGTTAGTGCCTCTGTTCGTTGTTTGTGTATGTGGATGCTTGTATGTTGATCTTGTGGTATGTGCTGTGATGTATGTGTTGGTATGCTGCCGTCCGTGTTCGAGCGTGTCACTTCCAAAAATGCCGAAATGTCCTTCATTTTTGTAGTTTTCCGCATACTCACTAGGTGGCGCAAGCAGCCGCCCAATTTTATTTTAGCTTTGTTTATACGTAGTCCATTTATGTGTAAGGAACCACACCACATAGCTACAGTCTAGTAGAAAAGTAACCGCGTGTTTAAATGGCGCATAGCGCCGGCGTTCAGTTCGTCTTCGTTCGCTGGCCGTTTCGGTAGCCGATTCGTACCCGGAAAGCCGCAAAATTTGCGTACACACGATATGAGTGGATACGTCGAAACGTAGCGTACAACTTTGCTCGCGGTAAAGAGGTGAGCGGGACGTCGGTAACGCCGGTCGGGTAGGGTCGGGTCGGGTCGGTGTCGGAGCTATTCGTCGTCGCTCGCGGCAAACGGGCTTTTTCAATAAAGTTCATGTCTGTGGTCGCGAAAAGATAACTGCTGTGGAAATTACCCGGCGTCGGTGACAATGCAACCGGCTTGAGGCCTCGGCGACCGGCTGAACCGCCACGCGAACGAGACCTGCTCGATGGGGAAGCACGCTGCTGGATGCAGTCGATGGTCGCTCCCACTGTCCCGTAATCGCCGTAATGGATACGGCGTCGGCGCTTGGGGGTGAATGCTTGCGGTAGTTCAGCACGTATGGACGATTACGAACGAACACGTGCAAACTACGCTTTCGCTGCGGCGAAAAGCCGTGAAAGCGCTGGGCCTCGCTCGTAGAACCCGTCTTGCGTCAAACGGCCGCCATTGTAAAAAAACACCCCTAGACGTGTGATCGCAGAACGAAGTACACGTTCAAAGATGTTCATTTTACACGAGACCTCGGGTGCAAATGAAATACACCGAGCCTCGCGTGTAAAACGAACACCATTTGGGGAGTCCGCCCTGGGACAACGGTTTACACGTCCAGGGGTGTACTTTTTCGCTGTGTGTGCACCGGCGAAGCCGGGTATATGGTTTAGTTTAGCGTTAACGCGAGGCCGTACATCTGCGCGCTTTTCAAAAAGAAAGCTTCGAAAGGAACGTGAATATCTTTCCACCGGTAAGTTCGTGAATTGTTGAAATTCACGAAACTGCTCTGATGATGTAACCGTGTTTGGGACCCCGAGGGTCTGCCTGCATGATACGCCGCTTGCGGCAGCCAGAATGTATGGGAAAATGGCGGACCTTTTCCTCTAGAGTTAGTATGTATGATCTCTATGTTAAGAAAGATCTGCTGAAAAATATACAAATACACCTGTTCACGAACACTGAGGTGAAGTCCCTAAATGATAATTACTGGTGACAAAAAAACACATCGAGGGGCTTTACACCGACTATAGGCTCTTTATGCGGTATCCCGGCACATAATCCTCAGTTCAAAGTGCCTGCTGAACCGTATATATGAAGATTTATCGTTCACAACATTGTGCTCCATTGAGCGTGTCCTCTTTTTCCACACGGTGCGTAGCGATTCATCGCTGGGCAGCTGGTGGAAAGGAAATAATTAATGTACCCATAGGTTTAGTTCTCAACTTTGCCGCTAGGGGCGCTAAGTTGGATCTACTCCCCAAAGGGACTCCCTGTCGAAATCCGTGGGGGTCTGAGATCCCCCGAGACCCCCCTGACTGCACAACAGTAAACTATTGAGCCACGCGCGACAGAACCCGTTGAGCAGCATGGTGGACCAGCGAGAATAGTGAAAGCCCCTTCAGTAACTGCGGAGCATATACAGTTAAGCGCGAGACACATGGACGGCAGAATCGTCCGATCCGACAGTCCGAACGCCGCTCCGAATCGCCGTACGCGATAGTTTGAGACACACGCTTCCGACCTTGCATTCGACACGACGATCCGTTCGGCTCCGCCCAGGAGATCCAAGCACTTCAGCGGAGGTCCGCGTTCATAGATCTCTGGTCCCAGATTGACGGTTTAGCTCGCACGAGCGAAGTTGTTTTTGTTCATAGATCTCTGGTCCCAGATTGACGGTTTAGCTCGCACGAGCTTGTTTTCGCTAGCGCGTGCATTCTTTGCTGGGGCCATCTTTCTCGAATGGGTCAGCGGGATTCACGCGTCCGGCTTCCCCTCGTCCGTCCCGTTATCGCGTTCGCTTCGTCCCGCCAGACAGGGTTGCCAGGTAGTTTCTAGCTCAAACCGCCAAAAGCCAGACGGTGTAGCCCAAAAGTAGCCAAATGCAAGAGATTTATGTAGCCCAAAAGTAGCCATATTCTGCAGGGCCCAAAAAATCCTCTGCTCCAATGTGCGAGCTCAATTCGAAAGCACTGCGTCTGCATATCTAGGGATTAGGAGCAGCCTGCAAGATCTACGACATCTTGAAATGTATTGAACGCTTTATTTCAAACACAAAAGTACAACAATTTTGCGCACGCGTTTTTGCAGTCACGTAGTCATGAAGCACTCGCTCGTGCCCGGCTTACTCGCCTCATATATAATATCCGTGTTAAAACGGGCAAAGACTTCTTTAGTAGGGTTGATTGATGTCCTTACAGAACTCGTTATTCCCAAGGAAAGCAAACTTTACATAGAGGACGTTTTGAACGTCTTGAAGAGTTGGAAGGGACACGTTCTACCATGGGCCTGACTTCGTGAAAGACACGTGTGAACGGTGGCATTCGACATGGGCAATGTCGGGAGCGCGATGACAAGCTTGGAGAGCAACGGAAACACGGCTGCTCCTGCGCATTGATCTTGGCCTTGTTCGGAAAATTCACTGTCCCAAATCTGCTGTCCTTTGTTATGGCTCATTGTGTTTTAAGAAACTCCCATGCTTCGCGGTAAAGCCTCCTTTGTGATATCCGGTACAGCACACGTTATCGGGCGACATCAAATTCTGCAAGATGTCTTGAGTTGTCTTTAGCCTCATTTTTCCTCGGATGAGGTACTTCCGGTAGGAGGATGGTGGGAAACTTGAGTAAGTAAGACTGTAAGAGACGCCAGTAGGAAGCAGAAAGAACTTGGGAGCATAAAATAAGCCACAATTAATACAAAAGCGATGTTGTCGGGGCTCAATCTAGGTTACGGTAGCTCACTTGAGCTAATAAGTTCTGGCATCACGCCCACGAATCTTCACGCAGAAAATTTCTGAAAGCGGGAATCCAGAATTTCTGAAAGCGGGAATCCAGAAAGGCTTTGTGTCCATGCCGAAGTGTCTTTTGTGCATCTACTCTAAACCAAGCAAAAAAAAAAAAAATATATTGCCAGTGAAGGTTTTGAAATAGCCCAAAAATAGCCACATAGCCAACCGCCAAATTTCGACGCCAAATGCATGACAAAGTGGCCTTCATAGCCCAACCTGGCAACCCTGCCGCCAGACCCAGTACGTCACCATGACGTTCGCGCTAGCTGTGCTGTCATTGGCTGGACGCATCCGACAATCCGTCCGCCGTGCGAAACTATCTGGCGCGTTGGACGCACGTCGGATCGCCGATCCGACGTCTGAAGCGACCAAATTTTTCGGATCAGGCAGTCGCACTGCCGGATCGGACGTCGGATCGGATGTATTTTTCGCGCATGGGTAGCCAGTGGCGTCGGACAGCGGCACCCGGGGCGATGGCCCACCGCGACATCCCCACCCCACCCCTTTCACTGCCCAGCTGCACCCGGGGCGGTCCTCCCCCTCTCCCCCCCCCCTCCCCCCTCCCAGTGACGCCACTGTGGGTAGCAGCACCCCGACGCAGAAAGGTGCAGTGCCGTAGCCGGGGAGGGGGAGGGGGGCGGGGGTCACGTCTGGACGTAAAGGCACCCTACGCCACTGCCGTCGTGTGCCGGCCGTTGCTTTTTGAATCTGCCCCGCTCTGAAGCGACATGAAGCAGTCCAGTCCATCTATGCTCGGCACCAGTTGTGAAAACTCTCAGTTTCTGAAGCCGTTCTACCAAATCTTGAGCAGCCGCGAAGAATGCGTGCGCCCAGCACTGCCTGCACTTTCCTTCATTCACTTCAGTTGCCAATTTGAACAGCGCAACTTGGGCGGTGACCGCGACAGGAGGCGAGTGATCCTGCAATTCACCTCGTCCGCCAAGCCCACGACGCCGTACAAGGTAACTCTGTGTGTCAACACTTTCCGGTTCTTCGACGTACCACTCCTCAAGACCATCAACGTGAGTGGGTATGTGAGGGCGGCCATCAACTTCTTCGCGATCTCGGGCCGTGCCATTCCCGAAGACCTGCACCTTAAAGTCATAGTGGTGGACAGAACCCAAGAACTCAGTCTGCTCGTTTATCTCGCTGACAGTGGCTGTGGCATCGGTGATATGTCTACCACCAAAGCTCAGGCCGCGAATGTTGAGGACCCAGACGTTATAGTGGACCGCGTTACGGTGTTGCTGAACTGTCCACTCCAGAGGACGAGGCTCGTGGCACCCTGCCGTGGCGCCGACTGCCGGCACATGCAGTGTTTTGACGCCTTGGCCTACCTAAGGCTCAACGAAGCCACCATTCGGCCCTCGTGGCGATGCCCCGTCTGCGACAAGGACGTGGAGGTGCAAGGGCTCCGCATGGACCCCTTCACGATGGAGGTGCTGCGGCGAGTGGCCAAGACGTGCGACACGGTGCAGGCCTTGGGCTGGACGGCGGTCGACAAGCGTGTCGACGTGATTTCAGTCAGTTCAGCGAGGACGCCGAGGTGGCCCAGGCCTGTCAACGCGAAGCGCGAGACGTCCGTCGTCTCCGTCGTTGATCTGACGGATGATGTAGACGCGTAGGCCTGTCTAGAGGATTTTAATTTCACAAAATCGGTAAAACTACACCCTCGAGTTACCCTTATTTTTAACTAGATGCATATCGCCTTTTGGGTCGAGTTTAGTTTGTACTCTATTTTAGAATGGGTGCGTTTAATAAAATCTCGTGAGGTATGTATTGTAGTTCTTTACTTTTATTTTTTATTTATGAATTATGACCGTTAGTATATTTCATTACAGTGGTTTTTAGAGCGCAGCTCTTAGGTGCCCGTTTCCGGCTTGAGCGGCGTCGGCGTCGCCGTCGCCGTCGGCGTAACCGCGCGGTGCATTATGGCTAAATTTCCCCGCTAAATCTAGCGGAAAAATTTCTCCGCTACATTTAGCGGAAAAATTTCTCCGCTAAATCTAGCGTAAAAATTTTCCCCGCTAGATTTAGCGGAAAAAATTCCCCGCTAAATCTAGCGGAAAAATTTCCCCGCTAAATCTAGCGGGAAAAATTCCCCGCTAAATTTAGCGGAAAAATTTCCCCGCTAAATCTAGCGGAAAATATACCCCGCTAAATCTAGCGAAAAAAATTCCCCGCTAAATCTAGCGGAAAAATTTCCCCGCTAGATTTAGCGAAAAAATTTCCCCGCTAAATCTAGCGGAAAAATTTTCCCCGCTAGATCTAGCGGAAAAATTTCCCCGCTAAATCTAGCGGGAAAAATTCCCCGCTAAATTTAGCGGAAAAATTTTCCCGCTTAATCTAGCGGGAAAATTTCCCCGCTAAATCTAGCGGAAAATTTTCCCCACTAGATTTAGCGGAAAAATTTTCCCCGCTAGATTTAGCGGAAAAAACTTCCCGCTAAATCTAGCGGAAAATTTTTCCCGCTAAATCTAGCGGAAAAATTTCTCCGCTAAATCTTGCGGGAAAAATGCCCCGCGAAATCTAGCTGAAAAATTAACCCGCTAAATCTAGCGGAAACTAGCGCGAAAAATTCCCCGCTAAATCTAGCGGCAAAATTTCCCCGCTAAATCTAGCGGAAAATATTCCCCGCTACTAGCGGAGAAATTTCCCCGCTAAATCTAGCGGAAAAATTTCCCCGCTAAATCTAGCGGAAAAATAGGGAGTTTTCGTAGACCGCGCTGCCCCCTCCGCTAAGCGTTCCGCAACGAAGAAGTTGCTACTGCGCCTGCGCGCCGATAGCCTTGACTGTGGAGTTCCCGCTATCGTAGCGGGTTGCGGAGGGCCTTGCGGGACGGCGAAGACGATCTACGAAAACTCCCTATTGTCCCCGCTACTAGCGGAAAAAATTCCCCGCTGTCTAGCGGAAAAATTTTCCCGTTAAACCTAGCGGAAAAATTTTCCCGCTAAATCTAGCGAAAAAATTTTCCCGCTAGATTTAGCGGAAAAAACTTCCCGCTAAATCTAGCGGAAAATTTTTCCCGCTAAATCTTGCGGGAAAAATGCCCCGCTAAATCTAGCGGAAAAATTAGGGGATTTTCGTAGATCGTTTTCGCCGTCCCGCAACGCTCTCCGCAACCCGCTACGGTACCCGAAACTCTACAGTCAAGGCTACCGGCGCGCAGGCGCAGTAGCGGCTTCTGCGTTGCGGAGGGCTTAGCGGAGGGTGAAACACGGTCTACGAAAACTCCCTATTAGGGAGTTTTCGTAGACCGCGCTGCTCCCTCCGCTAAGCGTTCCGCAACGAAGAGGTTGCTACTGCGCCTGCGCGCCGATAGCCTTGACTGTGGAGTTCCCGCTATCGTAGCGGGTTGCGGAGGGCCCTTGCGGGACGGCGAAGACGATCTACGAAAACTCCCTATTAACCCGCTAAATCTAGCGGAAACTAGCGCGAAAAATTCCCCGATAAATCTAGCGGAAAAATTTCCCCGCTAAATCTAGCGGAAAATATTCCCCGCTACATCTAGCGGAGAAATTTCCCCGCTAAATCTAGCGGAGAAATTTCCCCGCTAAATCTAGCGGAAAAATTAACCCGCTAAATCTAGCGGAAAAATTTCCCCGCTACATCTAGCGGAAAAAACTCCCCGCTGTCTAGCGGAAAAATTTTCCCGTTAAACCTAGCGGAAAAATTTCCCCGCTAAATCTAGCGGAAAAAATTCCCCGCTAAATTTAGCGGAAAAATTTTTCTGGGGGGTCGCGTGTAGTCCAGTGGTGAGCGCAGCGGTAATTCCGGCGGCGCACACGATCGTCCAGGCCTCGTCGCGTGGTCATTAAACACGGTGCACGGAACACATACACAGCATACGCAAGCACAGTATCCAGTGGTGAGTGCATCGGGAAGTTCCAGCGGGCAAGCGGTATCCGAGTTGTCCAAGTATTAGGGAGTTTTCGTAGACCGCGCTGCCTCCTCCGCTAAGCGTTCCGCAACGAAGAAGTTGATACTGCGCCTGCGCGACGATAGCCTTGACTGTGGAGTTCCCGCTATCGTAGCGGGTTGCGGAGGGCCTTGCGGGACGGCAAAAACGATCTACGAAAACTCCCTATTGTCACCAAGCACACCAGCGCATCCAGATGCCGAGCCAAACTGCAATGGGTCGGCAGCTTCACATTATATAAAGATTCAAAACCGAGGTCAGTATCCATCCAGGGAAACGATAGGCGCTCGCTGGGGTGCTCGCTGGGATACGCTCGGACGCGTCCTAATCCGATTACGAAGCCTTGCTAAGGCGTCAGAATCGGATTATGGCCGCGCCCAAGCGCACCCCACTGGGCAAGATGGCGGCGCCCTGAGACCGGACTTGCAGATTCAAAACCGATGTCAGTGGGTATCCATCCACAGAAACGATGAGCGCGTCAGTATCCGTGCCAAGGAGGATAGAAGGGTAGGAGAGGGCATGACGTCGGCCGCGTAGCCTCCACAAGCCATGCTCCCTTGACGCCTCGTCTCTTTCTCATTTTCCTCCTTACTCTCCTCACTTACCATGCCAACGCGACCACATCACGTGACCGTAGCTAGCCTTCGTCTTGCTATGGGTTACTAGAATACACCACAGTCTGGCCTTTGATATGATAAAACCTACCGGACGGAGCGCGCGCAAGCCTGCAAGGAGTCCTTCTATAATCAACCATCCATCTCACAGGTGACATATCACGCGCACCAATCGCCAGAGAGATCTGCGGTCACGCTGGGCACAAAATCGTTTAAACTTTTTATCACTAGGCTTCACCAATATTGCAACGTGCCCCCTCCTAGTACTTCTAACCTCCTTGATCCGTGCGCCCGCAGCGCGAACGTCGCCGCCGGGCGAGCGCCGACTGACAGTCCGACGAGAGCGAAGAAGAAACTAAACTGACTAAACTAAATGTAAGGGCGCAAACGAGCTGGTGTACATTGCACATGGTTGAAAAAAACTCCGAGACTGCGGATAAACGACACAACACTAAAAAGTCTCTAACACAGCTGAAATTTTTATTTTCCAAACCCTGTTATATGGGCACTTCCATACAAAAGAAAAAAGGGGGAGAGGGTGAGAACCCCAAAGAATGCCACTTTCCACCAACGTAACCTCTGACTAAACAACAAGGACAACAGACTCTGCGTCATGCACTTCCCTTATCTTTGACCCCTCGCTTCCCGACTGCCAAACAGCTGTGTTAGAGACTTTTTAGTGTTGTGTCGTTTACCCCGCAGTCTCGCGGTTTTTTCAACCATGACTAAACTCACGGCGCTGCGCCTGCGCTGCCGCCGACTGCAACAGACAAAGCCAGGCGCGCACGCGGAGAACACCCGCTCGCAGCGCCTCCGCAGCGGATGCGCCTGTCCCTAACACGTAACCTGCGAGAAACCGCGGAAATTCGATCCCCGCAGACTCCCCCCCCCCCCCCCCCCCCCCCCCCCCCCCCCCCAACCCCATCCCTCCCTCTCCTCTTCCAGTCACGCATGTGCGCGCCCGCTGGCTGGGACTGGCTGGGAGCTGACTCTACTGAAACAAGGGGAGCGGATCGGATCCACCGAACACCGTGCGATTCCAGTGCGTTGCGTCTCCCTGGATCCGACTGGTTACTCCCAGAATCGCGCGGATCGGAACTGTCCACAAGTTTAGAATCCCGCGGATCCGAACTGGAACCGCTCCGGTCTAACATTTTCGTACGGGGCGGCTTATTACAAAAATGCTAACCCACTTGGCCATCCGTAAACGCCGCTTCGCGGCGGCCGACTATTCGCTAAAGTGTCATTCCGTGAAACCTCGGCGCTCGCTAAAACGTCATTCGATCAAGTAAGTGCCTCCCGCGTGGAGGTGTACCTGCCTCTTGAGCAGCGTTTTATTTTACTTCGACGACTGTATTTGAAGCTTGCGGCACTCTCGGGCCAGAAACGAGCTTGATTAAGTAGAGTTCGAAAACCCACCTCCCATCCAGCGCTGCTGCACTGCGCTGCTCTATCTGTGTTGCCATGTGGCGTGATTAATTCGGATACATTTTAGTAGATTTTGAAGATATATAGCCACTGTTGATTTCATGCCCGAGTCCTACTAGAACGACAAATAGAAACAAACGACAGCGACAAGCCTCAAACCAGAGTCTTTCGCGACTGGACAGGCTTCGTAGGATAAAGGAGGCAATGCTCAAACACGAGCGTCATGCACGCGTGGGAATCTTTGGCAGGCTTGCAATCACTCGTGCTTACTTCACGAGCACCGAACGACTAAACGCCCGCCAAAGCTACCATTGCGAGCATGCTGCCTGCGTTGAAGGCTTGTCCGTGTCAGGACACGAGCAGCAGACGGTGACAGACATCCGCACCCCACCCTGCATGCCTTTTTGCTTCTTTCTTTGACGGTCTATATCTTTTAATGTATTTTACAGTCATGAGTGTATGATAAATTAAATAACTGTTTTTAGCTATACCTAAATGTCTCAATATTACATTTATTCTTGTTAGCTTTTAGCTTTTAATAGACCACAATTTCTGGTACTGAATTTTTTTCTCAAGTTATAACGTATATAATGAACTAAAAAGTAAGCAATGAACTGTACAGAGAATTATATTTTAAAGGGGTCAGGACACGCCAAAAATAAAATAGATACATACTGCTAGGGCCCATTGTATGTTCCTGTAGTCCTGCTAAATTTGTTCTGGAAATGGCGCGATAGTTTCGTGGATAAATTGATTTATATGCGGGACCCTATACTCCGTTA